TATCTCTTCGTCGGAGACACGACATTATCGTTTTAACAGTCTTTCACGTTTGACCACTTTGATGATGTTGGCAAAATAGAGATTACCACTTTCAGATTAATGGGAATCACAGAATAAAACGTATTGAGTGAGAATATTCAATTAGATTCCGTATTTTTATTTACCGGAGAGAAGCATAAAAAATAAAATAAGTAACAAAACAGTGTACAATGTGATTGTTTTGAAAAGAAAGCACGCCTCCGTCTAATACGAATCATTCTACGCTTATTTATGTACAAGTGCCTTTGCATTGCGTGATACCTTCACCAATATTTATTTTTGACATAGTCGTCGTGCATTTCTATTCAAATTCAGAACGCAGCTTTAAGACGTATTGTTTATGTAGCTTTTACGCTCGAAATTATAACCTTAAGAAAGCAATTGTTTTTTTTATCACATTTTATTTTTTAATGAACCAACTGGTCGTTTTTGATACTTAATTTAGCACGATACGGATCTTTATGTGAATTTCACATTTTTTTAAATCAAGAAAAAAAGCAACCATTTTTTACACAAATCAAGTTGTAAGTCACAGGCGACACGTATAACTAATTTTTTAGAAATAAGTGCTGGTATAAGAACATTATATGTTGTAAGTTATATAATTTTAATATAATATATAGACTCGTTAAAACATAATGACATACTCAGCGTCGAAAGCGACTTCAATTTCGATCGTTCGAGTATAGAATATTCTAGGCATGTCATGGCATGAACTTTTAGTACAGATTCATTTCATAACGAATTGAGAATATATTTAGTCGAACAACGTAGATCGTAGGAGTGGACGAGACGGAGTCGGAGGCGGTTGTGATGGTGCTGCTGCTTGTAATAATATTAAGGTTGGTGGAAACTCCAACAGGACTAACAAGGAAATCTTCAATGATGTTCCCCTCCGATTTTGTTCGCCTTGCGATATGTTATTCTCCATCGAAATTTAAGTGACACTTGTTTCTTTTTTCATCGACGGAAAAACGGTTTTAGGGAGTGAAATCAACCGCCAAAGTATAGGGTACCTTTAGGGCTAGTTTCAAAGTTTCGCATATTTTCAGTCGAGATATTTAAACGAAACCAATAAATTGGGGAATTATGCTCATTGCGAATTATGAAAAATGTATTGTGTTCGGTTCTGATAGGGTGAATTCCTTAACATTTATAGGGGTTGAAAAGTTAAAAATTGTTTTAAAAAATCTATCGATCGAATTTTAAGGAAAGCAACTTCATTTGAGAGAGCTCAAAAAAGTAGGAGATAGATCTTTGTGTTTTTCGCAAAAACATCGTTGAAGGGTTGAACTATCCCCTTGTATATGTGACCAATGTCCCATTAATACCGCATTATATTGCTTTAATTTGCCTTTCCAATTGATACAAAGCACTTTTTTTGTATTAATTAAGAAGCTTAATACTTTCAATAACGTTTAGTTGCACTTCTTACAAAAACCACTCCTTCGATTAGATTAGATTCCCCCTATTAGATTCTAAAGTTTTTGGAGGCTGCTGGAATAGAGATTTCTACTACAAATTTTTTAAATTAGAAACGCCCATAAACGATGAGGAAATACAATTAAAAAGTAGGTTTGAAAGTATATTATTAAATGCAATGAATAAATATACAGGCGTAAGAACAGTACAAGGAACTTCTGTAGATTTTCAAGAAACACATAAAAACATAGAAATGCTAATAGTAGACGATGAAAAACGAGCACATGCAATTCAAGAATGACAACCTACACCAGACGCATGCATAACTGATGAAGAAGAATTGTCATACGAGTATGAATCGAGAGTAGTTGACTATTGGCAATCTGGAAAGAAAAAAAATTTGAGTATAGACATCGTTAGACAGAAGTTTAAGAAAGTGAAATCTGTTTGACAATTAAAACGTTGGGCTCATTATTTAAAGAAAGATGGGACGTACAAGCACAACAAGAAATGGGCCATGAAGACTATCGATTCAAAGCATCTGAATCTTAGATACTGTCATTCAAAAATACCCATCGTGATGTATTAAGAAAAGTTAATAAATTTATTACCAAGAAAACAATTGAAAATGCAAAAACCTTAAGAGAATAATCTGAAAAATGTTTACTCGATACAAATTATACAAAAATATAGTTTATCGAATGAATATAATTCAGACCGAAGTGGTTTTCAATTAGAGATACATTTTAGAAGAACTTTAGAACTGCAAGGAGAAAAGCAGGTGGAATGTCTTCTACAGTCAGTTTCTTCTATCATCCACAGTTATACCATTCATCCAATTATATCAGCCGATGGAAGGCTGCTTCCTCCTCTTTTTTCGATGATGATGGTATTTTTGATCCAACAGTAGAATAGACATTGTTTAGGCCAGATAATGCATGCATAGCAGTATCAAAGTCTGGCAATCTTACTTCAGGTATAAATAGATTATTATGAATTCCACCATTATTAGCCTATGCGTGTCAGAGAATATTATGTACAAAGAATATATTGTATTTTATATTTTCAGAACACTTCAAAATGTGATTGCAACATGCCTTTTTCAAAAACGTCGGTTCCAAACGTGTACTGCTTAGTGACTCATGGAGTGGTCATTGTTCTGTGTCTGTACATGACGCAACACCACCGAATAAAGAAATATAGTAAAAGTAAGTTATTTCAAATGCAATTGGTTTCATTAAAATCCGATCGATAGTTTTCTTTTATAACAATTTTGAACTCTTCAACCGCTATAAATTTTAAGAAATTTACCCCGTCAGAACCGAACAAAATGCGTTTTTTATAATTCCCCATGAACATTATTCTCAAATTGGTTTCATTTAAATATATTGACTGGAGGAGGGGGTTTGATTTCACTCCCTCAAATCGCTTTTCCGCCAATAAAAAAAAAAAAACACGCGTCACTTAAATTATGATGGAGAATAACATATCTCAAAACGAACAAAATCGGAGGAGGACACCTCGTAAGGTTTCCTTATAAGTAAAGGACAGAGCCGCAACTTGGCGAACATACAAATAAAGCTTCGTGATACATTTCGAATGTTAAGAATAATTTCTCCAACTCCACAAAGATAATCTTTAGTCTAAGTCGCTCCTTTTCATTCAATGTGTGAAATGCTTGATCCTACATTCTTCGATTTTCTCTGAATTGAAATGAAAATATCAAAGAAAATACCATGACCGACTAGCTAACTCATACGGATTCGATAACATGTCTTCAAACAACAACAAATTACCGAGTGATAGTGTATAAAGAGCCATTGATATTAGGGAGCCACTTATCTAAGATTACCTGTTTAATTATTAGTCTTAAAAGAAGTAACATCCCGAAATCTTTTTATTTCTATGTGAATACCAAGCGAGCGCCGAGTGCGAACCCGACTCAAGGCCTTTTTCTTCAGTGTATTTCTCGCAGATTTGAGTGCTTTATATTCTAATATTTCATTCCTGAGTATGTTTGCGTAGTTGTTCATCCAGACCAAATTTCAAAGCTCTCAGGTACAAAACAGCGAATCATATAATCACAAAACTGACGAAAGCCTGGATTCAACGCCTGTCTTTCGATGAAGCTCGAATTTCGCAATTCAATTGCAAAAAGACACTTTACGTGATGAGTTCTACAGTTCAAGATGTCGTACAACGCTTAAAGAAATATCAATATATTCAGGCAGCTGCGTACCACTATATTAAAACAATTTTTCCAACGTTCGCTCCATTAATTCACTACCTGATCCTTATCCTTATTCTTATCCTTAATTCTATATATTGACTGATTTCCGAGAGAACTTAAAATCTAATTTATTAAATTAATCACTGTTCACCCTCTACCGTTAATGATATTCATTTATATTCATTAGTCCTGTTACTTATTTTGTATAGTTAATTATACATTTGTCTAGTCTTACATTTCTTAAGGCAGGAGTTTTATATATCTTATTTACAAGGTTTCATTCATTACGTCTCATCTATTTTACTTCGGCCTTTTTGAAGCTTGTATTGAACAAAGAGAAAAAATTACTCGTGCTGTGTTTCGCAAAGAAACAAGTAAAACTGTATCCACTTTTCTTTTAAAAAAGAACAGCGAGACACACGGAGTCGCTCATTCTTGAGCAATGTTCGATGATGTACTTACAATTAGATACCTAACTATCTAAAAATGTTTGCATGCCCGAACCAAACCTATTGAGATTCCTTTCGAGATTACATCTCTCAAATTGTTTTATCGAGCGTAAAAGTAATTTAGAAAAATGAAATAAGCGACGATAATATAAAAGTAGCTAATGAAAGTATAACAAGGCATCATACCTCAGACACGAGCTGAATATTCCCTTGAAAACAAATAGCTGAAAAAGTTTTAAATACGCATGAAAGAAATCTCAAAAAATAAAATAGTTTACACTCTATCGTTTCAAGTAATATGCTTAATCAGATGTAAAGGTTTCGCTTGAAATAATTACTTTTAACATAAAGCGATCTCTTAAAATCGATTATACCGCAGAAAAATACTGGTAAACGCGTTTTGTGTAACATGAAATATTTAAAACGTTTGAAGGATCGTATGAAATTGAAAGCTGTTATCTCGAAAAAATTTCTTTCTTAGTACCCGCATTGTTTGCTTTAAAAAAATGTATTTCTTAATGTTATTGATTTTTTCACAATTGCTAGTAGCTCGTCCAGCCTGAATTTGTGACAAATTATATTTGGAATTGGGATATATCCTGTCCAAGAAACGACAGAAAGAGAATAAACGAAACATGTGAGTGAATACATGACTCAAGATAAAAATGTTAAACTTCAATATCATTTGTGGCTGCTCCATCTTCCAAAAAATGTTACGGTACTGTAAAAAAATGATATGCACGAAACATGATAAGAATATCACGTTAAGAAATATATATATATATATATATATATATATATATATATATATATATATATATATATATATATATATATATATATATATATATATATATATCGTAATTTTCATTGTGGCATGTTTCATTGATTCACTTGCCAATCATTTACAATCGGATTCTCGCAAAAAAATGGTGTGCAATTTGTCATTACACGAAACCTCACGTTTATCATGTATCTAACAGATACTGACAGGAACACCACTTGAGTTTTTAACTCTGAATACTCCCATTAGTAATCAATATCGATCGTCAAGCTTTTATATTCCATTTTTCTCTGTACTAAACTTAAGATTGTCTCCAACGTAAGACTGGTCTATAAATGTTGACCGATAAGATTCCGTCTATCCTTCAAAGTCAATCCTATATTCCTTTTAAAAATAATTTGTCACATATTAATGTGTTTTGAATTCAATTATGTCTATATGATAATCAATCCTAATGTGAAGCGATCATTAGACGCGTGGATCACAAGATTCCGTTTTGCCATTGGACTTAACCTCGACTTTTGGTTCTTCGGAGGTTAAAGCTGGTGGTCTTGTATCCGAGGCTTCCATGGATTCCTTTGATTGAGTATTGGCTTCTAACGAATCTTGTGTATTATTAGAGGATTCAGTTTCTTCAAGATTTGTGGATTTCGTCGGATCTGTTGGCGACGAAATAGAGGAAGGTGTCGGAGCTTCACTGCTTGGAGAAGTCGTATCACCTTCGCCAAGATTGTGATGATTTGGCTTTTCTTCAAATACTAAAAACATTATAAAAGAACAGAAACGCATGAGCGAAGAACTTCATATTGCACTTTACACCATTCAAGCGCCAAAGCAAAGAAATTTGTAGTTATATCATTGTATTCACTATCGATAATAATTCTTTACATATACGCAGGCGACACACTGCTATTAAGTGTAATAATGAAAGGCAGCAAAGGGAATAATAAATACATCTCAGAACATATAAGCCAAATATATACAGTATGAAGAATCCCCTAATCATTTACAAAACATTACTAGGTGCATTAGATTAGAATATTTTTAAAAATCATGATAAATCTGATCTCTGAAAAAACTTACGTTTTAAAAGCAATCGTATCAGTATTATGTCTTATTCATAATATTATCAAATAAATATTAGACATTTCTATGATTCATGTATGAACAATTGTATCTTGTCATAAGCAATTATTTACGTGCAAAACTTACACTTGTCAAGACTGATAATGGATCCTATAACTTCATTAACAGTTAAGGTTGGTCCTTGATCTTCCATTTGCCTTCTCCTCCTTACGAGCCACCAATCGACCAAGAATAAGGCCAAAGCAAGAATTTTAATACCTGCGCACAGTCCCACGTATCTAAAAAAGACAATTAAAATAATATCAAAGTTTATAGTTTGCACATTGAGCTTTCTAATTCTTATATCACTAACGTACCTATATCTGAATTGTTCAATATCGTACAATAAACAGCGACCACCTTTCTCGCCGCAGGTACTTTTCCAAAGTAGGCACGTTGAATCAATCAAGTTACCGAAAAGTATTGGCGCTGGTATATAACCAAATAATCTGAAGATCACAAATTGCATACCAAGGGCGAAAGATCTTTCTTCCTCGGAAACGGACCTACAAAGATATATAAACTGTAATTATTTTTTAAAAATAATTTACACCCATAAAGTTTTACATATTGTTTTCACTATTAAGATTATTTCTGTTTCGAACAATTATTGCTTATCTTAATGTAATTATTATGGTAAATTTTTAAAATATATTCTCTAAATAATTTATAAATCTTCGTAATATAAATGCTTATGTTATTTTGGAGATGATCAAATATATCGTATTATGATAAAGAAAATAAATAATAAACAGTTTCCGTGAAATCATATGCAATATGTAACAACAATTTGAGCAAGTCAATTTTTTGACGATACATACCGTAGTACTATCATGAGTAATGGCATCTGAGTTACAGCAACAATAAAGGTCATAAAAAAGAGAAGAATAAGGAACGGAAATATCGTTCGGCATGGAGAAGTGCATGGACCTGCCGTAGCAACAGGAACAACTGTAACCTCAGCAAACTCGGGAGCAACTGGTGGTATCATTGTTAGGTTGCCATGTATACCTGGTTTGTTATGAAAATTGGTATTAGGTATTTGTACACTCTAATTAAAAATTGATACGTGAAAAGTTATTGCATTGTACTTTCTTTCGCCGAGCATTTCCTCAATGTTAAATTTTGACTGATTTAATTTGGAAAATAAATTTTTAGATTCAGAACGATATAGACGCATGATGGGTAACAAAGATAATACGTAACACTGATTACATTAAAATAAAGCAAAGCCAAGTAAGATTCAATGCAAGCTTTTCTGACGCAAAGAATGAATACTCACAAGCACAATTGGTGAAGTTTGATTCGGAACTAAACGCGGTGCAGCCAGCATGACAAGGACTGAAATATGTAAGTCCATTGTTTCCGCACACAGGCTCGACGTCAGTCATTCGACACTCACAGCCAAAATTGCAAGCGGCAGTGAGATTCACTTGAAACGGTTCAGGCCCCTTGGTACTGCTATTATAATAAGGAATAGTAGTGCCAGCCATTTTGACGTTGTCACATCCCAAGAAGAACAGGAGTCCGTAACACACCAGACAGATGATATTTGAAACCAGCACAAATTGAACAGCACCTTTAGGCCTTAACTCCAGACGTTTGAGCAGACAACCGCCAAAGAATATACCGATACAAGCACCAGGAATGGCAATTGAGCCGGTGAATATGCTTGCTTGGCTCTTTCCTAGGCTGAACTGTGTCTCTAAATACTTTGGCAGGAAAACGACGAAGCCAGAGACAATTACCAACTCCATACAAGCACCCAGGCACGTTATCACATATACGGGATTGCATACCAACCGCCACATACTGCGTGGTATATCTGAAAACATATACGTATATGCATTAAAATCTTCAACAAAATAAAATGATGAAGTACTTATATTTTAATGGAAATATTCATTGACTTTGCCAACTCCATCAACGACAGAAAATGTAACAAATATTATCAACACATTCTACAGACAGCTATGAGATGCCTGCTACCTTCGTGCTGCTGTATATAATAATGTCTTTTCCTTGTATCTTGATTTCTACATAATAGAATATTTAATTTTAACATTTGAATAATAATTAATGTAGTTGTTAATTAATATTATTTGTAAAAGACACATTACTGGTTTCCAAATATGCGAAGTGTAGTTAAAATATACATAATAAGTTGCTCGAAATGTATTGCTATTACTCGATGCAAACTGTTGATTATGTATAGCATCGTTTATTATGATCTCTTGTTACCTCATTGAATTATCAATAGGGTTAAATAAATATTGTAACAAATTAGGAAAAAAAAAGAAGATTAATTAGTTCAGGAAAAATGCTATATACTGCAAATCTAAACCGATCCAACTAATTATTCAATCTGTCTGTATTATCATAGCTATGTGGATCTTGTCCGAGATCGGATAATAAGTTAAGGCAGCCGAAGGTGTAAGGCGCTGCGTATATATAGGCAAGGTACGAAGATGCACCCAATGATATTTTCTTTTAAAAGGACAACAGCATTCATTACGCCTTTTCGAGTTTTTAATTATTCACGGATGCCATTTGAGTTGAGTGTTGCAACTGGGTGATTTCACAAGTTTGAAAGTGAGGTATTAGTAGCGAAGATTAGGTCCGGAGATGTTACAGTATATATGGATGATATTAGAATAGCAACTGCGACGATCGAACGTCATCTGGAAGTATTGAAAGAAATGTTTTGATTGGTCCCTACCGCATGCTGGTGTGAAAATGTGTCTAAAAAATATAGTATATATTATACTTATGACAAGAAAAACCAGGACACTTATATTTAATAACATTAATTAATGTTCAAATATTAAATTTAATATTACATGAATACTTTATGATTTGAGTTTTTCAAAATTGTCATTTAATTTATAGTTTCCAAAGCGTGCCAAGTTTTGTAATAAAATTTACCTAAACATTTTATAAATAAAAGCCTGTATCTTTTGAATAATATTTTACCAAGTTGGGGTCAGGCTTCGCTATTTATTTTGTGGCGAAAGGAGCGCCCCACTTGCAACCGATAACCAAGACGCCATTGTTACAACAGACCTTAAGTATAGTACAGGAATACGTTTTGAATGAACGCTCGAGAAAGTGGGGCGTAGGGGAAGCGTTCATTGGCCAAATAAGTAAAAGAAATTTGGTCAAATAGATTGAAGTTTACTCTCCTAATAAAGTAACCTCCTAATTCAATATCGCTTAGGTGTGTATTATCCCAGCAATGATTCGTTTACTTACCTTTTACATCTTTACCGTAACCACTGTCATCAACAACTGTTTCTTTTATCGGTTCTTTGTTATGCTCCTTTTCTTTGTTCGTGGCTGGTTTACTTTTCTCTATAATTCTGATCTTTTCTTTTTCACGTTGCAATGTTTTAGGGAAGCTGAAGAAAGGAATTGCTACGAGAACCAGAAGAAGACCACAGAGAAGGAAACCACCCCACCACATTCCAACCCATCTATGATCACCTGGACCTGTGTGAGAAAAAATGAGTATAAGTTTGCAATTTTATTAAATAAAAAAGGAATGCATTCTTTTTCAAATCCGAAATTCTATACTCTAATTTATAGCAGTCAAAAAAGTATCAACCTATTTTAAACAACCATCCCTTTAAAACTGATGAACGAAATCTAATAATGTCTTCACTTTTCCTACAATTTTATTTTAATTCAAAATTTATAATTTTGCAATTAAGTGACCGGTATCCACTGTATCCTACCCCCGTAATGTAATTTTCACAAAGATATAAAATAAGAGATAATAATGCAGGTAACACGAATAATCAAATTGGTAAAAAGACTACGAAATTCTAAGCAATAATTTATTTATATAACATTGCATTGCTTGCATAACATTGAACTTACCGATACTGATAATCGTGCTGGAGAATGAGTCCATGTGAAATGACAGAAGGTAAGCTCCCAGGAGAAAACCTAAGACTGGTCCGAATGCGGCCATACTGTACATACATCCTAGACAGAAAATTGGCGTATTCATAAGACACGTATTCCATGCGGTTGTGCCAAAGTAGACACCGTGAAAATAATCCCTCGAAATGGAATTAATGCTGAAAGGTGTCTGTATAGTTATTATTCAAAATTTGTCTTACCGATATATAAGGAAGCACTTTCTGGTCTGACATGATCATCGATGTAAGTTGTGCCGAGAGTAAATAGAGGTGAGCCACCACATCCCAGCAAAAGCTGAGCAAGTACAAATAGCATCACAGGACCGGCGGTTGAAGGGGATCCTTGTATACAGTTATCGCCCCTAAGATTATTGTGCGGCGCCAAAGGCGGTGAAGATAGCCCTGATGACAGGCGTCCTAAAAAATATAAAAATTATGTAATATATACTGTATCTCTAATAATTCTAAGTAAGACAAGTGAAGTTGCCGTATCAATACCCGCCCTCTCCCCACCATTTTCCTATCAAATCTAGTAACATTCATGTACCACGAACAAAACAATGTACTTTCAATGTGTAATCGTTATCTCTTGCCCTTAGACCAATGATGGATTCCAAACAACAAACCCTTAAACCCTATATTTAAAAAGCAAATGGTCATCTGATCTTGTAGTAATATTGGACAAATATTGCAGTTCTGTAATAAAGTCAATGCTGGACCAATGTTGGCTGATCGAAATGGAATTATGAAACGTAATGAACCTGTTGCGCCTGGAAAATTCTTGCTTATTCTTCACGTAGGGAGCATAATAAAAAGAGGTATTTTAACAAGAGACGAGAAAATTAACCCGTTAATAATGGAAATAATCAAGGTGTGCCCTTTCGATGAAGCATCTTGTACATTGCTGACCTCAGAACAAGACGTTTTGTTTTTCACAAGGTGGCATTGACATGCTTCACACCACGAGATTATGAGAAATAATTATGGGAAATGTAAAATAAACATAGGGTATAGAAATGAATATAATTAAGCACACTGACCAAGTCCCATGTCTTGTTCACGAAGTGAAACGCCTCGACAAATATTATCGGAGCTAGAATTGTTTGACGCTGTCGTGAGGTTGGGTTCCGCAGTGAAATGGGGCACCATGAAAATCATCGATCCCACGCCCATTATTACTGCACCTAGTAAACACATAATATTTATGATTACAATTAATCGCCGATGGTTAACATGTTACAACCAATATAAATTTAGGAAATGTGAAGTTTAAAGATTAGGCTCTTTTGTAATAAAAAATTGCTATATGTTTTTTGCTCTAGTCTATAATGTCTTGATGTGCGACATCGAACTCTAGCCTTAACTTAACCCCCATTCAGCTAAACTACCATTGAAGTACTATAAAATAGAACCGCAAGGAAGCAAAGTAAATACCTTTTTCTCAAAGTGCAAGTAATACAATTTCGCTCGATACGGTTCAACTTTGACTTCTTCTTCTCGGCGAAAGAATAATTGTATATCTAGCCTAACGTAAACTAACAATAGAAAATTTATAACTAATAATAATAAAAACATTCCCTTTACCAAAAAGTTGCCAAATGCTTACTATAATGATATCGAATCTTTCAACTACAAAGAGTTTTGAAAGCATTGAAAATCGACAAAAAATCTGCTTAGCATTACACGGATTATAATAGTTAAGGTGGATACGAATATGTGTAATTATTATGATATTATCGATAAAAAATATGCTGCTAAGAGTATTATTCATGAGAAAGAATTTTAATACAGTCTTATATTATAATTACCAATTTAATTCGTATGACAAGGAACAAGTTTTAGTGATTCTATAGATGCGACCATCACTTTGGACATGCATGAGTGTAAGTCATTATGCAATTTCACTCGCTAAGAAAAGGATATAACATTTGCATATACGTGAATGAGGTAGCTACACTGTCTATATATATCCTCGATTCCAGACAAACTGCTCAACCAACTGTACTAAAAATAGAGATAATTAAGCTGCAACTGCAGATAAGCTTATACACGTGCATCATTTTTCGATTTCGATCGTATAAAATATTGCTACACATTCCACGCGATACTCCTTAAAAATTAAGATGTAGAAGATAGCCTTGAACGCGCGATAGCTCTGTATGTTCGACAGACTAGTATAAAACTTGAAAGGCAATTTTCGTAGCTGCGTCATATATATTATGTCTTTCGTGTATTAAAATACACAAAATGTCAACTTTGGTTTCATTTTTCCAAGGTAGATTAGTACTTACCTATGGCTATCCACACAGGAATATGTCTTCGGCTGCCAAGATAACTGACGAAAATAACGGTAATAACATTGCCTATCTCATAGGAGCTTGCGATAACGCCCGAAAGGCTGGACGGGATCTCGAATCTCTTCTCGATCGTTGTAATCACAGAATTAATATAACCTGAACTGAGTGCCTGCTGCAGCGTAACGAGGAATGATAAGAGGAACACGAACACCTGAAAAATTCAATCATCTTAGTCTCATTTGCCAATTAAAAATTTAACATGGATATATGTATATTTATATCAGAAGAACGGTTGCTCGGAAAAATATCACGTTTTGCAATTAGTTGTACAGCATGTTTAAAAAAAGAGGTTTATATCTTTTCTATGTTTAAAACTGATTTATATACCAGCCCACCTAGTCACTGCGTAACTGAAGAGTTAACCGTTACTAATCAGGTGAATGATACAAACCTTAATTCCAGCGAATCTTTGAATGAAGACTGGCCTGCAAGTTAAAATTCCGCAGTCCTTTGAGTCTGGATTAATTGGTGGCGTTTGTGCTCTCTCTTTCTCTGCCCTGAAGTATAGAATAAGACAAGTTAACACGTATTAAATTGTATACATAACCCTAGAACAGTGATAGTCAAACTCATTAGTCAAAAGAGCCGAAAATCAACACTACAATGATCGAGCATTTGTGGCAGAGCCGCATTCAAAGGGTCAAATAGCCACGATTTGTCGACCACTACCCTAGAACATCACAAATTTTTATATCACATCTAAGTCGCCCAATTTCTCTCATACATGAGCTTATAAATTGAAATATAACGCTGTAACGGATGGATGTTTTTGACTTAATTGTGAAGAAATAAAAATTCTAGAGTGCAAGTAACAAGTCTAAAATAAGATTTGAAAATGGAAGGACTAATTAATGTTACGGTAGTAACTTGCCTGTCCACTATGGAAGCACTGGGATTCCTGCTGTGACATTTGATGATAAAATCTCTGGAAAAAGAAAACCGAAAAGCATAAAACATGAACATGAGTAGCACAGAGCAGCATTAAGTAGTAGCAATGATCAACGAAAACGTAAACAACTTGTATCTTTAGCCTCTATACTGCCACGTTTTCTTTCGACGAACAGACTTTAAAATTTCGATATTTCAATAAATTTGGTGATACGACTGTCTTAATACAGGGACTTGAATTGGATAATCAAATTATACAAACCTATGATCCACAATACCAGAACTGGGGTTTCTGCTGTGACATCTGATAACAGTGTCGTGTGTTAATCTACTGCTGCTTGGTTGTGTCAGATCTGCATTTTCCCCAATGCCTGTTGTTCCCGTACTTTCCGCATATAGCCCTGTCATGGCGTACATGCTTTCATTCCTTCTGTGCCCAGCGTGATAGTTACTGCCAGATTCCGATCTATAATATCAAATCACACATATTATTAAAAGAAAGCGATTGAATTAACACGTTCCCTGTATTCTAATAACAATTTTTAATAAACATCGAATCTGAAAGGAATCCCTTTGAATTCATTATACATCTCTAAAAAATAGTGTTGCAAAGGAATTACAATACTACCAGCTCTGAATAAGGAATGTATTAAATTATGGGTTATTTAATAGTAATTAAATATAGAGTAATCAGAAGAGTAAGTTGTATGATCGCGTATGCTTTATAGATAACTGAATTATATAGTTACAAAAATGATTAAACAAATTACTGGTAGCACGTACATTCTCGTAAATTGTACAATATTATTTACTCTTACTAAATATAGTATTTTAAGTTAGAATGCCGTTAAACGCGGAATACGAATTAACGAAATTAATTAAAAATAAGGCATTATAAAGTGGTTTAAAAAAAGCTTGACGAATTATACAAAGTAGTCGGAGCTACAGAAACTTTGAACTAACTCGATACTATTCCAATGTCCATAAAGCAATGCAACTGAGATTGACATATTGTGTAAACGACAAAACATTTTTATTCAATTATCGAAGCAAATTTATAGACTCCTTAGGCAGTGAGCAGCGTTACATTTTTCTTCGATGGGTGGATTAGGAGCAAATTACTTTACAGTTGAAAAACTTAACGAATTCAATGATCCTCATCACATTTAAGACCCAATCTGTCTTTCGTGAAGTCGTTGCACAGATGAAATTATAAAACAAGGGTTTTCCGTTTCACAATTCTTAAAAGACTAACGAAATATGACATTGTTCAGTAATTTTATATACAGACCATAAACAAGATATAAAAAAACTCTTGAGTTTTGTACGATGACTTGTTATCATAATATGACTTGTTATCAAAAACGCCATAACATCTCTCTATCATATGCGTCACTTGAAGAGGATACAGCGCTGTATGCGTATTGGAGTTAGAGGAGACAGCGATATTGTAACTTATAGATAAAGAAGGTTTTTGCAATTCTGCAACAATATGAGTAGAAGTTAGGTGATAGCCTATGTGTCAATCTCGCGTTTCAGCTATGGCTACGTCAATTTTCAAGTCAATCTGTTGAATTGTCTGGGCCTGATTGAGCAACAAACAGGCATTTTTATATATTGGTAGGGAAGTATGGATAGAGGAGGGATAGGGAAGCAGGGAAGGAACAGTATCCCTAATCTCTCAAGGAATATTAAAATGCTATTTGGCAAATAAAATTATGATTACTTTAACACTGTTTTAAAAATATTTTTTAACATTCCCTTTACAAACCTAATAGTCAAAGATTTTTAAAAGAAATTTTAAGGTTACTGTGCCCCCTTAAGTGTTAACTTCTACTAGCAACATATATTGACACTAATCAAGACACTTCTTGATAGCACACGAATGCTACATCCTCCTTGCTCGATTCTACTGAAGCCAATCGGTAACGAGCTTCCGTGATGTATAATAAATATGTACAATATATCTGCATGAAAATTCTGTGTAGATATATTTCACTGAAATAAATTCCACTGTAAAACGTAATGTGAAGAATAATACAGTTACCTCTTATGTCCAAATCCACCGCCGCTCTCATTTCTTTTATGACCACTTTCAGAGCGTTTGTGGCCAAAGGCACTAGATATGCTTTCGGTTCTTTTGTGACCACTTTCCGATCGTTTGTGGCCAATGAAACCTCCACCCGATTCAGTCCTTCTATGAGTGAACATACTCGAACTCGAACCATTTCTCTTATGACCGCTGGTTGAAGCCATTTCGTCGAATTTTCTTCTCGTTCGCCCAGACTTCTCGATCTTTTACTTCCTACTTTCCTTCCTTCTTCAGTCGGGCACACGTATCACCCCGTCATTCACATTACGATATACGGTGTGCCTGAAACAGAGAATTTTCATTAAAACCGTGTTCAAATAAACAAGGAATTTTGACATGCACAAACATATTACGCATTAACCCCAAATTCTAGATGATCAAAATGTAAACATATCACATGACGACATGGAGCACGTGGGTACGTCTTATTCTAAGTCAGAAGTAACAATGTTTGTGGCTTATTAAAAATTTGTAAAATTCCTACACTGGCAAGAAAAATTTCATAAAATTAACTAAATTATTTTAAAACGAACCAAAGATTCTAAAAAAAATTTTTATTTCATGCCAGTTAACATTTACTTGTTTTACCTCTGTCGTCAAATAAGTTAAAGTTTGCTTGTATCTCAATATCGATTTGCTGCGTTCAATGATATGCCCAAGTCAAAGAAATTAGGTAAAATAATATAAAACGAAGTATCAATGTTCTTCCAATAAATTATTTAATTCCTCAACGGTATCTTCATTAAGGCGTTTACCCGTGAAACGTGTAGGAATATCTTATGCAGTCGATATTTAAAAAAAGAGGACGTGTCTGTACATATACACGTGCGCGGTGGTTTTTGATTATGCGAATTAGGAAGTGGAGGTGGGAGAAGATGATGCAAAATTTTGTAAGCAGAATTACAAACGAACTAAACCAATTCGAATAAAATTTATTGGGTATATCAGGTTTCGGATGTAGGTGGAACCACCTACATTTACAGATGTCCAGCACTACTCTATTTGTATGAGCGAGAAAAATTGTTGATAAAAACCCCAGAACCTGTGTGCTTTGCATTTACACGAGAAATTCAGTTATTTTGTGTCTATCCAAAAGACTATATTGAATTCGTGTACCGACTATACTGACGCATCCAGACAGTAACAACGCGTGATGCATTTACAAATGAGATATCTAGCATTTAGATACCGAAGCATTACCGATAATACGTATATATTATTTTATTAAGTTGGCACTGACCATTAGTCATTGCGCGCCTCCAGTTGTCATTATTCAAAACAGGTTCAGGACATCAGTGAAATCTTATATGGACACGAATAATATAGCAGTGTACTGGGTCAACGTCGTTTTACCGGTAGAGGTTGGCCGGTCTATGTCAAATCTAAAGTTCCTCTGTGTTCGCAGTCGACGCAGAGGATTTCGGAACACAGGATAAATTTTGCAAAAATATCTTGGCACGTTGCGCCACTTTATTTATGTCGTATGGCATTATCGAAGAAAAAATCGGCAATGCGGTCCCGACCCAGCAACAGCAACGATTACCCATTCCCATTTCCTTGTGAAAATATCCGAAGTCTTCGTTGGACTCTATCCAAAAACTCAAAGATTGCCCGTAGCATACGTCGGTGTTCCATGACTCCCTCTGTGGTAGGAAGATCGGAAAATTTTATAAGACAAAATTATAACCTCGTTACTTCGGTATCGAATGACATTTACAGTCACGATACTTTTTCACTTTTACGGATCTAATCCTGAATCATGATTTTGATTATATTCCGTATGATAGGAGAAAAAAAATATTTAGACGCAGAATCAGACCCAGCAGACATTCGTACAGTAATTTATAATTTTCTTTGTTTTCGCATCGAACATAAATAAAGTCGAAAATTCGCATATCGGTGTGCGTGTACAGTGTGATAGTAAGTAGTAATGAAGATTAGAGCGAGTACAGATTTGCTATAGGAACGTTGTCACAGTGACTTTGTAATACGCAAGAGTGGGTATAGAAAGTAATAGCTACGTAATACTCGCAGACTATACACAATTAGTTCAGAGGTGTGAAATACGCTCGTACTGTATTTAACAGTTGGCCCAGTTATTGATTTTGCTTTTCATTAGCTAAGTCAATATTGTCGTCGAACTGCTTTAATGTTATCCTAATGTGACGAGACAAAAATGATATTTCACTGTGGGTAAAGATTGTAACGCGAGGACCAGGTTACCGTGAGACAATATTAGAAATCGTCGATTGCTTTTGATATACCTCGTAGACAGTACAACTTGACCTTGATCTCAATCTATATCCCCATAGTCCGTAACATACCCCGTGAAACGGTTGGATATCGACATCGTAGACGAAATCGAAAACAGTATAGAAATGGAAATGAAAATTGAAATCGGCATCGATCGATGTCAATGCCGAATTTCTTATGGACCATAGTTTCCTGATCAAGCTAACAATAAGTTAAACCTACTTTTCGTATTTCTAATAGCCTGGAAATCTTGGATATAAAATTGCACGATACCTACATTTTTAGGGAAACTATAATTTTGCAATTTTTGCATACAATTTCAACTGTGCACTTGAATCTACATAAATATGCAAACTTATACTATCTGCAACAGAACAATGCTGTAAAATCATTATTCGTCCCAGAGTCTGCTGGTCAAAAAAGTGACTCGTTTATTTAAACGGGAAAAGCAAAAAATTGAAAAATAGCAGACTACGTTTTGTTACATTTTTTTTGTGGAGATTCTATTTTGTTCGATAATTGCGTAAATTATACGTTTTCGTATACATATTCATAATCGGGCCACGAGTTCAATGTATTTTTCGACAGTTCGCAAACAATGCAATTCTTAGCAAATTACAGGTGGTTTTCAATGAAAAAGCGAAAATATATGATAAAAAATATACTAAAACACAAAAAAAAAAACACGCTGAACACGGAAGCCGACCCCATGACATACTAATTAACAGCAGGAACAATAAAATCTGTAAAATGAAAGAATTCGTGATTTCCTGCATTAAGTTACAGAAATGAAGATGCTCTTTTAAAATTAGTTTTGACTTTTCTCAAGATAAAATAATAAATATTTTATTTCCCATCAGCCACTTTAATTTCCAAGTACTGTATGTATATACCTGAATACACAAAAAAAAATCGCTGGTTGTCTAGCGTTAAACTAACGAATGTCAAAAATGTTGTGGCTATACAGGTACACTATGGCTTTACGTAATCAGTGATAGGAAAGTTCTTGAAATCGAAACACTAAGCACCCAACTTCAGGCAGGTGGGTGACAGCCCGTAATTAAAAAGCACTTTATAGTTTGAATTGACGCAATTAGTCATAACATCACGTATCGATTGCCCAAGGAGTAGCAAGCAGCCTTTCTTTAATTTCTCTCGCACCCAGTTCCGGATATAACGACAGCTCGATTCTTTCGATCAATCCATTTCGACGTTTTCTGAAAAAAAAATAAAGACTCTGTAGATCAGCCACTTTTATGGCATACGCCACGTTACGAAAGACAACGGTAAGCCTTACGCAGTCGCGACCTATACCCAGGCTAATGGAAAGCTCACATCCCTCGACTAACTCCGACTCATCCAGACCAACCTAAAACTTGACATCCTCGTCCTAGCAAATATCAAAGTACAGGAAACACGACTTTTAACACATTCCTTATCCGGCTAACCCTGCGGATTTTTACTATATATACGAGGAAGCAGAAAGTCCCTTACGCGAGAGAGTCCGATTCTCAGTCCTAAATGTCAACATCTCGCTATAGCATAGCTATGAGATGCTGATAAATATGATAAAACTATTTCCCACGTGGCTCATTCGTTAGAGCTATTGAGATAACTTGCCTAGGGGATAGAACTCTGCAGAATTTTGTTCCTCTGTGCTCGTACATGTCAAATTCGATGAAGGTACTAACAAGCGGTACGTAATTTTACGGGATAAATCAATTGAACTATTATTAAAACTTATCAAGCACTGTGCAACTATGATGGATGCAAGTAAACATGAAGTCTATTTGTGAGACGCTAATAGATAAGATGCCAGGTTCCCACACGTGGTTCGCACCACGTATAGTTTGAGTGGCAACCGACCTATGAAAAGAATAATAAAAAGTAAGACGGTAGAAAGCAAAATACGCGCCTAATGAATTCGCCGTTTAAAAAAGACCTAATCACACGATTAAGCGAACCAAAAGCCTGAAGTACATGACATTTAGCAACGTTATTCGTCGACTCATATATCGCCATGATATTTTCAATAAATTTCACCATCATTGTATAAGCAGTTGATTAAAAAAATTTTCAAGTGAAACCATATGCATAGTTTTCAAATTTTTAACACACCCCCAGTCTTTGAAACCGAAAATCCGAAACCGCGATGAAGCTTTTCTACCGCTCTAGAGTTAAAGTGCTGACGGTTGCCCAGCTCCAGATACAAACGCGTGAATTAAATACATGTTAACCTATTGAGGAACCATTAGAAAAGTAGGCTTAATCCATGTCTAATAATATCGAGGACGTCGATAAAACGCATGCTCTCCTCCCACGTTTAACGTTATTGATATGTAGACCGAAACACTAAATTTTACAAAAATTCCATCAGGCCACGTTTTCTCAAGTTTGTGATATGGGAAATACACAAGTACAAATATTGTACACTTGAGCCCTAGTGAAATGCAAGTGTCACTCGCATACGGATGACGTGGCAGTCAACGCGTTAGAGTCGAGTCTCGTTATGAGTCGGCTTCTCCGCTTTTTCTCAATGCCGAGCGCACTACTCTCCCCACCAAACCTACTCAACAATGTGCTCAGTTATATTCAGATTCCCGGTACAAAGCCGCTCGGAGACGCCTTGCCTAAGAGCCTTACAGCGAGAGTCGCTTTAAAACGCTTAAAGAGGCAGGGCGACCACGTGACCGGCCTTACAGAGAGAGTGGATAGAAAAATCCTTCGCAGTGGCAGAGAGCTCTTATTTCTTAAAATAATATTTCCCTACAGACCCGAGAGCGGCGCTATAGCCGAGAATCGCTTTTAATTCAACAGCAGTTAAATACATCACAATCTCACTCGACCAAGACAATTCTCCCTTGATATTATTTAGCTATACAAACATATATATACAATGGGTCAACGAAGTTCGCGTATACCTTGCTTAAGTCCCTTTATTGTTACATAATGTTAAGTTAAACCTCGAAAAACGGGAATATTCCTTTAGCTCGTTTTATTTCAAAACATAATACTGACATTTTTAACGA